ATGGCCACTGATTCTGTTCGTAACCCGATCCGGCGTTCGCGAACGGAGGCAAAATTTTGCGAACGGAGCTGTTCGTGAACCGAATTGTTCGTGAACAGAAGCATTCATGAACCGAGGAACCACTGTATTTACAAACAGCTGCCTTGATTATAAATTATTGAGATTCTTTCTTTGGTTTAAAAAACATACATTCATTGACAAGCTTATCTGAATTCTTCTATATTCTGTCTTTACTCATGGTACATTGTTTTTGTGTACCTTTTTCCCAGCAAGGAATAAGGGGTTATGTACCATTTTCCCTGGCTTCCTGTTATTAATTTGTCTTACTATAGATTGAAAGGAGGCTGACCTGGCACACATTCTGATAATATTTTTGTGTCAAACAAAACTCTGTTTATTTCCCCAAATTTATCAATCCTGTTTACATTCTTTTTGCACAGCTTAATTTTTGTTTTCAATCAGGCAGTTTCCTTTTATACTGATATTTATATTGTGGTATATTAATATTCTTGCTTTAATGCATTTCTTTCAATTTAAGTTTATAACCTGCCCTCTTGAAAAGCAAAGTATAGATCAAACAAGCCCAGGTTCTATGGTTCTCCGAAAAGACTTTTGGTGGAAAAGAGGGGTTACAGAATAAAAAGGGGAGAAGATCCCAGTAACACTAGTCAGTTGTCACAGAAAGAAATCTCTTTTACTCCCCTTGTATCCATGAACTTTAAAGGCTTCGTACGCTGCTAAATCCTCACTGCTCTTAATCACTGCTAATTTATATCAGATATCATGGAATATGCAAACAGCACATACATCTACTCTGTGCAAAGAATTACACTTATTTCTTCATACTAAAAAGGGGGGGCAGCATATTACTCTGCAGTCGATAGACTTTTGGGCAGTTCTACAACCACAATACAACAGCCAAGTCTATATACCAAAGTTGATCTTCCTAGCAGAAATCTTACAGGGTGTCTAGAGATAGGACTAATTCAGAAAAGAGCTAGTTAAGCATAACATTTTAAATTTAAGAGTATCAGCTAATGTCTATCTGCAATTATATGTGTTCAAATTAGGTGTTAATATCATAAAGTGCTGCTGATATTCTTTAGTCACAACAATCTATTAAGTATTTGTCCAAGACAACAAACGGAACGCTCAAATAGATTTTATTTGCTTTGCCTGAAAGCGTACAAATTTTCTTAGCTCACTGTAAGTTGCTTATTTTTTATTACTATGTATACTGTAGATGTTTATTCTGCAAATAAAATGGAGTGTATAATCTTAGATAAAATGCAAAAGAAGCCACAAATAAATGACTAAGAAAAGAAAAGCATTACATTCTGAATTTATTGCTCAGAAAATAGGATACTGTCCTTGTTCAAAGACATCTTCTCTTTGAAAAAGAATGAACATTTCTAATCTAGTTTTACTTTTTAAAGGGCTGCTTGCTTTGTTTATGTTTCTGATTACATTTGGATGTAATCTAGCAGACAGCTTGCAAATGGAGGAGGAAGGCTTGTATATATATCCTCAATTTCAGTTCAGCCACATCCATAGACCAGGAAGCACAGCTACTTAGTGGTTCCCTGCATTTTCAACTTTTTTAATAGTGAAGGCAACCAAGCCAACCCCTCCTCACTCATTTCTGCATTTAGTTTAAAACCATTGGAAATTACCTTAAAAAAAAGAAAGAAGAAGCCTGTAACTGTGACTGCAGGAGGAGAAAGGTTAAGAATCCCATTGCATTTCTTTAACTGGTACTGATTCTTAGTAACAGATTGTATTTAAATACTCTCTATAGCTTAAAATAGCTTCATTTTCTGTTTATTAAAGTTTTAATTTCATGGCATCTTGGGCTGTTCTCAACTTTTCCAGCTCAGCTTTACAATGTGGGCATTCAGAGAAAGGCTATTTAGTCTGCCCTCCTCCAATATCAGGTTTGGAAGAACTAGATCCTTCTCTTGGTGGGACTGGTGGTCAGTGCCATATTTCCTCACTACAATATGCTGGAAGTTGAATAATCTTTCACAGCATGATTGAAAAAAAAAGATATCTGCCAGAATCCAATAAATGAATGTTGTATGTGTATTTTAATAAAAGGAGGGCCTAAAATAGGCATCAGCTGAAATTCTTCTTAGGGCAGCAGAACACTGGCAACCAAAGATGACATCAACAACAGTTACCCAACATCAACACTGGACCTGCAGATGACTTTTGTAATTATTTATTAACACAAATATTACATCTTCAACAGCTCTAATCACACCAAGTTCCTTTGAAATCAGAAACATACACCTCTTTCAGCAGTTTTATGAAAAAGTAAGACAGAATTCTTCTTAAACTGACTGCTTCTTTCTTTTCTTTTTAAATCAGAGTCTTTTTGCTGCGGTGAACTAGTTGTAAAATACAATCAGTATACTAAATGGATTTATTTAGTTTCAAGACTGGAAATAAATTCATAGAGAGGAGCTGTGAAAGTTTAATTTACATTGACTGTTTTAAAAAGTGATGAAATAGCACCAGTGCGCCCTAAGGAGGTTGAAAATAATACAATGTTTATTTTAATGATAAATCCTGTACACTTTTTTATTATTCCAATAAGATCAGCAGAGTTATCCAAACAAAATGCTGTACAATTAAAGTCAATTATTTTGTCAGAATTTGGCCTTTTTGAGGTTTTGCTTTGCTCATAAAACTCTCCTATGCTTTTAGACATTGCTTAGTTTTAGGCAATTTCCAGACTGGAAGATATATTAAATTGCCTCTACAAAGTATACCATTCCTCCTTCCTCTTGAAGAACAACTTTTAGCTGGTCATCAAAGATTCTGTGAGATTCTGCTGCAAGTTATTGAACAAAAGCATCTAAAAGCTCTTCCCAATTTTCATATATATGGCAGAACAAAATACAGTTTCCTTAAACACAAGCATATGAAAGTGTACATTTTTTCTTTTTTTCTTTCCTCTGTAATTAATTAATAATTTGTAGAAGCAAGAAATAGAGACAATACTCAGGCTGCAAACTACTGAGTTTGCTCCATTCCTGGGGAAAGGTCCACTCATAGTTACTTCCACCAGTGAAAAAACTATGGGATTTTCAACAATTCTCCAGGTAGTATTTCTGTTCCTTAAAATCATTTCCAGAGTGCTCTTTGGTTTCACTGTTCCCAAATTGCTTATTTGTAAAAAAATAGACTGATTACCACTTGATTACCTTCTAAATATTTATTTTTATTTTGACAAGAGGACAAGAAATGATTCCTCCAATGCTAGAAGTCTAAAAAAGTAAAACAATGTCCCTTGTTATTGCATAGGATCTTTCACAAATAGAAGTAATTTGTATTTAAATAAGAAATTATTTTATTAGCTTCTCTGATCCTTAACAGATTTAAGACAGTATTGCCATAAACCAAATAAAGATTGCCATTATTACGCTATACTTGGTGCCCTCATGAATTTTATCATTATGAATATATTTGCACAAGGCTATAAAATATGTTTAAACTGCATAACCTAGAAGATAACTAATCATGCCTCTGTTACCCATATTCTAGGTAATTTCAGATTTTTCCTTTCCATGGTCATTAATATATTAAATTATTGCAATCTCAGATTACTAATTTGGAAAAGATTTTGAATTACAAGCTGAACATTTTGTTTCTGCCTTGCTTTTGATCCGCTGCATTCTCTCAACAGGTTCTACTGACCTACTTCACTACATAGTTCTTTTTTTCCTCTTCCGTTCACACCTACTTCTCAAGCAACTGCCACTTCAAGAACTACAGATAATTTGAACCAAAGCTTCATTTGAGTTAAGACAAAAATATCAATTAAGGCACGAAGCTAATGATGCACAAATTAGTCTTGTAATGCTACATTCTCCTTTTCCTACCCCCACCTCATTTTTTCTCCAGCATAGATGTGAAAGGAATGGAAGCATTAACTGTCTCAAAAACAATAAGCTGTGATGAGTTTAAAATATAGTTTTTAACACTCATCAGAATCAAAGATCTGATCCTGGTCGCTTTCAAGAAATTATAATATAAACTAACTAGAATTCCCAGTTCTGATATGATACTCTGGCTAGTTTAAACCAGGAAGATTTTTTTTTTCCAGTCTCCTCCTTGCAGCTGTTTTAGAGGATTTAGCATATGAACCAAGGAACATTGTCACTTTTTAGTCAACACTAAATCCGATAAGCATATCTGGAACAAATAATTGTTCAGTTGAACATTTTAAATGTTATATGAAATGGTCTGAAAAGCAATGTATATTCCAGCATTCCATTGTTTTACCATGGCTTGGTAAATAATAAAATTGATGATAAAATATCATATTGTACTGTCTCTTCAAGTTTCTCTCCTGTCTGCTCCTTCTTTGTAATCTTCATTTATACACATAGCAATAAATCTGATAGATTCCATCTTGTGAAGTTTCAGATTAAAACTGGACACATAAACAGATAAAGAGGATAGAAAGGAAGGGAAAGCAAAGCAGGGTAAACTAGAACAATGAATAATTATTTATAAAATCTCAACTGATTTATGCAATTAGTTCTATAATAAATTACTAGTTGTTCCAAAAACTTCCTAAAAAAAGAGTTTTGATAAAGATATTGGATTTCTTATCTGCTTCATAAAATTTAAGGACTGGTGAAGTCAGCCTTCTGTATATTTTGAGCATTTGCTGTATATTTATTTGTTGAAAGCTGAGGCTTTCCCTAAATGCTTTTTACCTTGATTGACTGATTGACTGATTATGGGCCATCAAATTGTTGTCGACTTTTAGCAACCACATAGCTAGATTTTCTCCATGATGTTCTGCCCCTAGCCTGCTCTTTCATGTCTTCCAATGGTGTACTTGTTATCGCTGTAACTGAGTCCATCCACCTTGCTGCTGGTCATCCTCTTTCTTTCCACCTTTCCCACCATTAGAGCCTTCTTCAGAGACCTAGGTCTTTGCATAATGTATCCCAAGAAGGATAATTTGAGCCTGATCATTTGTGTCTTGAATGAGAACTTTGAGTTGATTTGTTGAATGATCCATTGGTTTGTTTTCTTGGCTATCCACAGTATTCTCATGAATATTCTCCAATACAAAGTTGAAAAGCGTCAATACTCTTCCTATCATGTTTCTTCAAAGTCCAATTTTCGCTTCCACTTTTTTTATCTTAGTTTCTGAATTATAGTTTTTGAGTTTCTGAGCTTAATTAATGAAGTAAAAGACTATCAGTTCTATAGTTTAAACTTAAATTTAGAAGGTAATTTGTAAGCTAAGCAAAACTATGCTTCAGTTTCACAGTTCACAATGAAACATTTATTTTATTTTATGTAAAACTAGTTAAATTCATGTATATCTCCACATTAACTAGAGCAGAAAGCTTTTTTTTTTGGTCTATTTCATAAGAACCAACTGATTTGTATAAAATAAGAAATTATTTATCAAAATAAGAAATTATTTACCAATGTTATAGTTAACACTGAAATATTTTTGACTCTGGAAATCAATTTTAAATACAAAATGAGATATAATTAAGGCATATTAACAATTTTGTATCTTGTCCTTATGGGAATAATGGGGTTCTTCTGCAAACTGAAGCACTTATTACAATGGCTCTGTGGACTTGTTCTCTTTCTACTTCCTTACATCAGCCTAAACAAGGCAGATAGATGCAGAATTCAACTACTGATTCTACAGCAGCAAATAGCATTCAAACCCTAACATTTGTAGAGGATCAGGTGTTTGTGCTGTTTTCTGAAATGTTGGTATTATATGATGGCAACTGATATTTCAGAGCAGTTGGTGTCCTCAAATCAAGAAAGTTTTTTATTCAAAGGTGTTTGCTTTTAAATTATCCATATATAGTATTCTGGAAATGGATGTAGGTATAATTGTTACCTCTTAAGAAGAATGGACTAGCTATTATCTTTCCCTTGTTAAATATTTATGAATCTGTGATAAAAGAAAATGAATGAAACATATTTTTTCTTACCATTTTTACTGATGTCAAGTTCTTTGAGATTAACTAAACTGGCAATGCTGGTTGGCAGGCTTGAAAGGTCATTGTCTGGGATACTCAGTTTACGCAGAGCTTGACAGTTGAATAATTGCTAAAAGAACAAGGGAAAATCAGTTATAAAAAATTCCCATAAAATTTTAGTATGTTTTAACATTTAGAACAATCCTAAAAGAGAGCATAAAACAGCCCATATGTGCTCATAGCCAGTAAGAATCAGTGGACATATCAGAAGAATTTTCTCTTTAACAGCAGCTAATCAAGTTTCTTCTTCACAGCCCCTTCTGAGGGTGCATTCTCTTCTACATAAAAACAGTAAAAAGATATGTCACTAGGAAAGAGAAGTTAACAAGATTTTTAATTTAACCAAGTTTCCTAACAAGAGTGAAAAGAAAAATATAAGGCCTACTGAGAAAAACTTGGGGAACATATGATTTTGCAGACTTCCAAGGGTAAGAAGAGGTACATGTGCTGATCAGGAGTTGATTATCCTTAACTCACCATTTTTAAAGGGGCATGAAACCACCATCTTAATATGCTTTTATGTAAATGCTGTGAATTAAAGCAGAAGCAGAATCCTGCTGCTGTAGGATTTTCTCTGTGTGCATGCATGTGTGCTTTTGAGTCAGTCTTGATTCCTAGCAACTGTCTGGATGAATTCATACGGTTTTCTTCGCAACATTTTCAGAAGTGGTTTGCCCTTGCCTTCATCCTAGGACTGAGAAAGAATGACTGGCTCAAGTCACCCTGCTGCTTTTGTAGCTAACACAGGACTAGAATTCATAGCCTCCTGATTTCTAGTCCAGTTCCTTTAACCACTACACCAAACTGGCTCTCACAGTAGAACTAGCGAAACTATATTCTTAGAGGGTTAAAATCTAACCTGTGGGAAATTAAAATTTATAAAATTTCTGGTGAATAAACTACAGATGAAGATATCTGAAAAATCTAGTGTGTAGATTTGCATAGCTGCCTTTGATATATTTTATGAAGACACCTATCTATTCAAAATGTATTTCTTTGGAAAGTCTGATAGCAAGTGAATAAAGGCCATTCTTTGGGGCCAGTAAATGTAGCAGCTTAGTGCAAACTAATTTTCATTAAGAAAGTGATTCCCTTAGAAATAATGCTTTCATCCACCCTTCATTCTGAAATAATTAACAGTAAAGTAAATGTGAGAAATGTTCATGAAATTACTTGTTACAGCCCTTTTAATATATGCATTTTCTAAGGAAGTCTTATTTATCCAAAAATGATTATGACCTGGAACATTTAAGTTAGAATTACTGATATGTAATGTGTACCTATGCTTAACTTCCTGGCTAGGCTTTTGGTTAGATTGGGAAGTAAACAAACAAACAACAATAGCAGAAGGCTATAACAAATGTCTTGCATCATGTTGGGAAAATTGAATGGATGTATCCATTCAAGTCACCAGGAATTAAACTCAACTCAAAAGCAACTTCAATCTATTTATTCTTTTTAGGCAGGAACGTGTACACTGCTAATAATACTGTTAGCATTAAAGTACAGTGCAGTATAGTCTGATAATTCTCAGCTCTCAAACACATCTGAAAGCTTTCAAGGGTTGGAAAAGATTGGTATTTGAGAGTGTCCAATAGGAGCTTTATCACAATTAATTACTTTGGTCTTGAAAAATATAAATTGCCATTGTGGCCTTGTTAGTGTAATTCATGATCTTGAGAAATGCCAAGAAAGCTTTCGACTATAGTACTGTCTTCCAAATTAATGTAAGATGTTATGCTTATTTTGTGTGTCTGCCTTAGAATGGCTTTAAACTAAGCTGTTCAATAAAAGCATGTGATTAAAAAAAAATCTTTATATGCTTGGAGCTGTGCAGGCTTGAGCTCTCCAGAGAAATGGCAAGGATTATTTTGGTTTAAGGCCAGCACTTGCTGATAAGGAATTGTGAAGAACAAAACTTAGCTGCACTTTGTATTAGTTATAATTGAAGGATAACCTTGCTTAAATTTGTAAGCAATACCTGTACCATTGGAAGAAATAGCAGTGCTGTTACTAGATGAAAAATCTGCAAGTAGCTTTTTGTTTTAAAGGTAAGTGACAAGAAGGACAGATATTGATACTTCAAATAACTTCACAGGACTTTTATAATAGACCTGGGATATTCTACATACATATTTTATTCTTGAACTGTGATGTCTAGTTCTGGTTCACTCCTGCAACATTCTTCCCCACCCATCTTCCTCTCAATATCGTCCCCTCACTCCTGCAAAGATGCTTTTCACAGGGAGGCTTGAATTCTTGTGGCTTCCATATGCTATAGAACAGGGTTTTCCAAACTGTGAGGTTTACCTTCCTCGGGGAGGTGCAGACAGAGTCCGGGGAAGCTGTGAAGAACCTTTTAGTTACACTGTTTCAATAAATCCACCTTCCCCAAAGTTTTATTGTATTGTTTTCATTGTTTTTATTGTTCATTTTTGTTCATGTTGGTGTTTGGATTTTTAGGGGAGATGTGTACATTAAGATTATACTAAAGGGAAGTGTGAAGTTTAGGAACCCCTGCCATGCAAGAAAGTTTATATCAGTCTGAGTTCTATAACTCTTACTGCTAGTAGTGATTTCAAATCTGTCCCAGTAAAAACCTATCTGCAAGTTGGGGTTTGACAAGATGCTGTGAAGTGTCACAGGGGACACTGCTGAGAGAGGAGGAAGAAGAGAAAACGAAAAGAAAGAAGAAAATTTCTTTGCGTAGCAGGATCACTTCTAAAAGAGAAATTGCTAGGAAACCAAGTGTTCTGGCTTTCTTTGAGTTATCTCATAGGAGGAGAGAAATGCAGGCAATAAATTGGTGATTTTTTTAAAAGCTATGTATTTTCCACGGTCCACCTATGAAGCTGTGAACAACTGCACAATTAATTCTTACAACTGCAGCAGATGTACATTCATCTGGAGAAAAATAAACCAAAAATGGCAGCAATTGGAGCTCTCAGATGTAGTACTGAAGGTGATGAAACACACATGGCTTTTCAAATGCTTCCTTACTTCATCCATATTTACTGTGCTGCTTAGATACTGGGGTATAGCTCATGCTCAGGTTCTAAACAAACAATAGTCCCTGAAGAGCTATTGCATTTGGAATGAATGCCAATGAAACATGCAGATTCACTTCTACTGTAATGTAGATTCAGGTAGGAACAAATGGCATGGATCAACGCAACAAAATACACAAGCAAACAGAATATCAGAATAATTGACTGGTGGGTGATACCATCATTCCAATACCACGTTTGATAGAGCTAATCCAACACAAAAATCTAGTAGAGGCCTGGGGGTGGTGGTAGCCGGCTGAGACTGCTGAAGACCCCAGGCCTCTACTTCAGTCCCAGCCACCTCCAAAGAGTGCTGCTGTGCAGGGCAGTCAAAAGGGCAGAGATGGAGGGGGGGAGATAGGTGGGGGAAGTTGAAGTGCTTCTATAGTCACAATTGCGGGCAAGCTGCCAAGTGTCTGAATTTTGATCAAATGATCATGGGGGCTCTGCAACGGCTGTAATTTCAAGGACTGGGCATAAGTACCATTTGTTCAGCGCTGCCATAACTTCTAACAGTCACTGAACAAATGGTTGTTAAGCAAGGACTACCTGTAGTAGCACCTGTCCTCTTGAATTAGGTTCTGGAATGAGTTGTTGGGAGCTGGGTGGCATAAAGGTTTAATAAGTTTATTATTATTATCATTATTTATTCAACCCTTACACTGAATATATATTGAGGGAAGCTGCATTGGAAAGAGATGAGCATTGGTTTAAAACTGGAGAGAGAAACATCAATAACCTGTGCTATGCTGATGATACTACTCTTAGCTGAAAACGCAAATCATCTGCAAACTCTAGTAATAAAAATAAAGGAGCACAGTGAAAATATGTCAGCCCTTCCAGGTAGTCCAGATGGGAACCAAAACCATGAGTACTAACACTACCTTTATTGTAGGCTTACAATAACAGAATCTTGCAAATCTGAAAGCACTTCTCCTTTCTCCACCCCCATTCCTTCTGTGGTCTGAGATATCTCTTGTCTGACCATTGTCTAGGCTGTGGCTTTTCCTCCTGTCTACCAAGGTTTTCTCACAGCCCATTACAGGCTATGGTTAAATATGAAGACCACCAAACAAATGAGAAATACACCAATCAGTCTTAGAACTGACAATGGAGCTAACTGAAGTAGCTTCTGCATTTAGAATTGACTAGCAACATTAAAGAAACCAGCAGTCAAGAAACATGCTGCAGACTAGCACCTGGTAGAGTAAGATGAAGACCTTAGATGCCATGATGTATTTATACCAACAAAGATCAGGATAATGGAAGCAATGGTTTTCTTTCTGACACTCTAAGGAAGCAAAACTTGGACTTGGAAGAGTCCAAGGCAGAACAAGTAATGATGCTTTTGAACATTGGTGTTGGAGAATACTCCTGAAAATACCATGGATAGCTAAGAAAACAAATGTATGGATCATAGAGCAAACCAATTCAGAATTATCACTTATGGCACAAATGACCATGCTCAAATTGTCATATTCTGGACACATTATGCAAAGACCTAGTTTTCTTGAAAAGTGTATAATGGTGGGAAATGTGAAAGGAATGAGATAAGGGGAACAGCCAGCAGTAAAATGGATGGACTCAATTACTGAGTGGCAATAGGTACAACGGATTCAGTGATAATGGATATACCTTTAGAAGACCTGAAAGGCCAGGTAGGGGACAGATTATCCTGGAGGAGGTCTATCTATGTGGTCACTAAGAGTTGATACTAACCTGACAGCACATAATCAATAGGTGCAATTCACTCAACTACTAAGTAAGGGAATCTGTTCCCTTACTGTAAAAAGCATCTTCTAAAATAACTTGGAACCTCTCTGGATAAGGAGAGGACAGAAGATTTCCCATATGTGCTGTGGATGGCTGCTCCTGACCAGGAGATGGCAGGACAGTGAGTTTGAGCACCGGGAGATGATGGGATTAGCCATCTTGCTCTCAAGTGCAGTGGAGACTTTTAAAGGACACCACGTTCGCTAACCTCACTTGCTAATCATTTTCGAAAATTGCTCATGAACTATTTCTAAGCTATTAGAGACTTCAGAACAACAAGTTGGAAAATGCCGGCGAGTCTGCCTTTAATTCTGAATGAAAGAAAATTTTAATAATAAGCTTAAGAATTTAAAGAACCTGAAATGAATAGCAAAAAGCTAAATAAGATTTTGAGCCTAGAAAGTTATAAATGGACTAAGGGTCCAGATAAAATGGAATACTGAAACTTTTACAATAAGATTTTGGAATTATTATAAAGTAGAAACAGCTTCTCATGGGAAATAGATGCTGTTTTGGTTTTTACAAGATATAACATAGATAAAGAATTTCATTACTTCAAAAACTGGACACTAGAGGGAACTAAAGATTTTAGGTAGAGGAAAGATATACAGGCCTGCAAGATGGTGCAAAATGTCCTAACAAAAATACTGAAGGAGACTTTTAAAAAATGGAATCAGAAAATAGCCATTATATCAACAATGTCAGTAATGATGTCTGCTTCAGTGGATAGCCCATGTCCAAAAGATGTTATTGAACAAATGTCAGATGTAGAACAAATTTTACCTGACAAGATAGAGATGGTATTGAAAATGGATTTACAACTGACAGTCCAAGAAAATGATTTAGAAAAGGATGTTTCACTAGATCTACAAAAGAAATTGGCTGAGGTTTTAAATTTTAAAAGGGAAATACAAGTAACAAACCAAGAGACTGATTAGTAATTTTTTCCTACTGGATTTACAAAAAAAAAATAAAATGTGAAGCCTTAAAGAACTCTGTGTGATGGGAGAAAGACGAAATGAAGATAAATCAAATCCTACAACAATATTTGAATGAACTAAAGATTAAGACTGTTAGAAGCAAAAGGAAGGAATATAAAATTAATTTATTTGATCAAAGTTAAAAATAAGATAGGTTGTTACTTCTGGCTACCCTTTATGGACTTTCTGCTGACATCAGGACTGAAAAGTGATGCTTTATGGATTTGTTTATAGATAAGAAATGGGATTTGGGATGAAGAGGTAAATGTTTGTAACTTTAGAGAGGGTGAAGAGTTACTAAATTTGTTTATACTTGTGATGAA